TACCACCAGGTGCGCAGATGGGGTGGGGGACGAGGGGGATCTGTGCTCCCCCCCCCCCCCCCCCCCCCATTTCACGTTGACTCCGATCCTTCCCCTCCACCTATAAGGCAAGAAAGAAAACAAAATCGGTGGTTAAGTGCTTGAAGCTCCTTTTTCCAATTACACTGAATGCAGCATGACGTAAGCAAACACAGACTCCAGAAGCACCAAAGTGGTTGCTGCTAGGACGCAGGATGAAGCAACAATTACTGCATTTTTTAAAAAGACACGGTGTAAGTAGGCGGGACCGATCTGTCAGTTTATGCATGTTGGTTATAGTTTCAGTACATTGTTGTCAGTGTTGGGACTTACTCGTTAAAAGCACCAAAGTCGCAATATTATGACAAGCGTCATCGCTGACTTTAACAAGTCACAGCTACATGTATGATCCCTCATGAAGTTACTACTTTACACCAGAAGATAGTGGAGATGTGTAACCTTCAAGGTGAGCAAAGTTTGGGAGTTTTGAGTTTGAAAAATGCCTCCCGCCGAGAGGCTCCCAGTCGGGGAGAAGAGGAGATGCGCGCAGCATGAAGAGGGCAAATATTATTGTAAGGAAGAAATAATACTGTAAGGATGAAACTTACAATTGCCGGCAGGTCTGGTCCTTGTTGACTGATCACATTGTCTGGTAATGACTCACTCCGATTAGGAAGCAGAATATTGACTCTGATGAAGAAATTCCCTCATCCAGCCGGACAGATGGACGCTGCTGCAGCATCAGACAGCTGGTGCAGCATGAGAGGTGTGTGGAGTTTACAAGCTCCAAATGTTGGGTTTGATGTTTGTTTAACCTTCTCTGGGACATGATGGATGTGGAAATGATGGTAAAAACACTGCAAACATGACAGACGTAGCAACAATGTAAAAAATAAGCCATAAAAAGGGGCAGATGCCGATGCGTTAGATATGAAAGTCAAAGTGTGCCACATAATCATAACAATAAACGTAAAATATAACATTTAAAAAGAGCTTTATACATGTATAGATAAATTAAAACTTTCCAAATATAATGAAAATTTCTAAATAACGTAATATTAAGAAGGAACATCTGTTGGTCAGAAGCTGAAAAGTTTGGGAACCACTGCTAATATCGTTTTTTTATTATAATTTATGTGCAGTTTTTTTTTTTTTTACATTGGGCTTTTTATGTTTTCTGTAAAGATTGTAGGGCTGGGTGATATGGCCTAAAATCATTATCACGATATACTGAGGATTTCACCTCGATAACGATAAATGGACAATAACTACAGGTATGCACAGAAACAAAAGTTGTCCACTAGATGGGGCTGCGACACGTATTACGTTGAGTCACAGTTTTAGGTGACTCAACTGGGACAGCTTCTTAAAGGGACAGAAACATTGCTAACCTACACACATCTATTCATTGTTTATTATCAAATTTATGGGGAAAACTATCTCGATAAGGGTCAGACATTTTGATAACGATACGTTTTGCATAAAGCATGAGGTTTTGGTTTGTAATTGATTGGGAGAATAACAAATGACTGACTTGGATAAAGTTGATCAGGCAGAGCTTTGTTGCCAGCGTTCCAGTGTGCAGTGGCTTCAAACACGTATATTAAAGTGTTAGTTGTTTTGTAAACCATTGGATGAAATTACACAAACTGACTGAGCTCTAGTTAAGGCTCTTGCAATTGTTTGTATATGTGTACGTGCATGCGTGTGTGTGTGTATGCGGAGGGTGCACTGGACTTTGTCTCTCCCCCCCCCCCCCCCCAGTTTGAAAATCCTATCTGCGCCCTTGAATACTACCACATGTAAGGATAGAGCATATTTATAGTTAATGCAATGACTCAGGACACATACAACGCAGCTGAAAAAATGTTTTTCTCGTTTTAGATTTTTTCAGTTTTTGCTTTTTTGTCATTCTGAAATGATTCAGAAAAGCAAAAAAGTCAATGTTAAACAGAAATGTGACAAAAGCTACCCAAACCATCCTACATATGAAAAAATTACAGATTCCTAGGCCTAACAACAACTGCAGTCATGCGTCTGTAAAAACTGGTAATGAGTTTCTCACGACACTCTGCAGGAAGTTTGGCCCATTCATTTTTGCGTAACTGTATCGATTCAGTAAGAGAGAAGAGTTTTCCTGCCTGATAAAGGATCTCATTCATGTTGAAAGTGGAATTGCAACAGTCATATACTACCCTGCCTGCTGTAACTAGCGCTAACAACGAGCTAATGCTAATACGATCCAACGCTAACACGAGCCAACTGATTCTAAATAAGCCAGAAAGTTTTCATTTTCACAATGTTAGACAAACAATATTATTACCTACAAGTTCTGTAGCAACAAAGCCAGGTCACCATCAGTCTGTGATTTTGCAGCCTCCTTAAGCTCCCTTAAAAGAGTGTAAGGTGCGCTGATGTTCACCTTGATTTTAGTTCAACAACCACTGAAGCCAGTTTGCAAGCAAGGGCCTTGAACGGGCCACTCCAAGACTTTCTACTTGTTCTTTTTCTTTCTTCATTGAGCTTTTCAGAAGCTGACTGAATGGTACAGACCGACAGGCAGGGTAGGCAATTGCTTGTGCCCTCCCAGTCAACAAGGGGCCCCAGAGGGCCAAAAAAAACTTCGACAAAAGACAGAACTGTTGCAGTTTTGAGATTGTGACAATCTGTCATTTGACTGCTGGCTGCCAAATGATGGCACTACGATACCAAAATTGGCCTCCTAGTTAAAAAATTTTCTTTTCTGACAACCTCGAATGCCACTGCTTGCTAGTGGCTGTTCGATTGTCTTGCTGCAAAGGTGCACTCATGTAACAGAATTTTTGCTGCTAGTATCAATTAAATTTATGATTTATTTTTGCAAATAAGGTGATATGGATAGCTATGTCCCTTTGATAAACACGTGTTCTTTGTGTTTTTCAGGACACATTAGTCTGAAACTGAATTTTAAATTGCTGATCTGAAAACTTTAATATTAATAAAAAAAAATTAAATACTTTCACTGCATTGTGTAATCTGCCAAAATTATTTTATTATGAGAGAAATAATCCCTGAAGTTCTATTTTGTTGCTGATAACAAAGGTAACAAGATTATTACAGAACTTTTAGTCAGAAACCAATGTTCATGAGAATAACTATCTTTTGAAGTATATGCATGTTTTTTTAAGAAGTCACGCTACGGTGTGCTGCCTCTGATTGCATGAAGATGTCTACTGTTGCTTCCTCATCAAATGAGTCATGAGACACATTTCAGCTTTTTATCAACCCGTCAAACTATGTTCCTCTTCCTCTTTTCTCCCCTCCTTAGCCACAGAAGATGGAGCAGCAGAAAAGATGCTGTGCACTTTTGCTTTATCAATTTTTAACTCGACAATATCATCAGAAGATGCAGAGTGCATGGTACATTTCTACACATGTCCGGACTAAATGTCCGTGGCTGCCAGGAAATGACAGATATGCTGTGGCTCGTGCAGTGACCCATACATGTAGCACGCCTTGCTGCAGGGAGCTGTGCACTGGACTGGAGGACTGGAGTGGATGTGAGTTGTCCGTTTGGGGGAGGAAGGGGGAGGGTTGTAGGAAACAGGTGCTGGCACTGTGAGCTTGTTAACACTGGGGGGATAATTAATTCCTCCAACAGAATGAGGCACATATGCAACACATAGCCTTTGGCTGTGGGACATACTGTACATCCTAGCGTGAAAATATGTGATGTGCAAAACAGGAGGTGTTTGTTGTGTGTTTGCACAAAGTAGTGCCTTTTGGATGAGATCCTGTGGATAATAAATAGATGTGAGAGCGTGTTTCGGGCTTGCAGAAGCATTAGTTGAGCGCATTTCTGCAGAAAACAACTGTATAAAATGAAAAACTAAAAGCTGCTCATTTGTTGTTCTGAGTTTTAACATAATTTTTGTCTTTTAGAACATCGTTAGAGTCCTATTCTCTGCAAAAGCATTTAGTAAAATCCTCTTAAACATCACAAATTAGATCCCAAAATGACCCATTTCTTCAAGAAGTAAATTGACACAATGAATTATTCCATCGAGTCATCTGTCCTCTATAACGAGGAGGCTACTTAGAACAGAGGATAAATTAGGACATCTCTCTTTTACTCAATCAAAATCTTTTCAGCAGATCTGCCACATTTTCCCAATTTATTCACTGATTTCTCATCGTCTCACAGAAACGACAGGGAGAAACTGAGAAAATGGGTGTGAGCGCAGAGATCTGTTCTGCTTTAGGGATGAAAAGACACAGAAATAACATGTCAGATTCTGTTTGATTGTTGCATAGTGCTAGGGAAGTCCTCAGAATGATCAGTGGTGGATTCTGGGAAATCATTAAAAGGAACTTTCATGTGTTAAATTACAGAAATAAATTACTAAATTATGTTTATATATATATATATATATATATATATATATATAATATATATATATATATATATATATATATATATATATATATATATATACACACACACACACACCCACATATATCTCAAAAAGGCCACTGGGGTTCATTTGAATGAATAAAACCTTCACTGTTCACATCTAGTCACCTGTGCTTGCTCTGCCACGTCACACAGTGCAGAACATCAAAGAGCAACACGGCAAAATGAGACGACTTCTAACAAACACTGCTCAAGTTCAGCTCCACGGGGTCCACAGAGGATACGGTTACTGTCACCTGTGGGTTAAAGCCTCCTCGCTGGTCTGATGTCTGCTTTTTAGGTTATTTGATGCTGAACTTTCATGTCAGCCTGACAGAACGAGACTACAACCAGATTTCCCACAAGGGCAGCAGCCGCTCTGCAGAGGAACTCACTTACATCACTCTCCAGCCACATCAAAGCACAGCTCTCATCCCTGCACGCTGCAGGGAGACCCTTTCATATCAGTGGGGCTCCGTCTAGTGGACACTAAGTAGAATTACACACATGGGTTTATTTTGTCCTGACTTTTCTTGTTTCCAATCCACAGTGACAATGCTGGTGTTTCTGGTTGGAATCACTGCAACGGCGAACGTTTCTTCTCATGACAACCAAACGGCAGGTAAAACATCAGACCTCGTCGTTTTCTCTAATTGTGTTTTTCTTTATTATTTCATTGGTTTGACTCACCAGTTATAGCAGAATGTTTAATTTCACACCTATGTGATTAATTTACTTTCTATTGCTATTTACAGTTTTATCAACATGCAATAAAACTGAAATATTCTTGACTCAAGGAAGGCAATTGACTCATTAAATTGATTAATGTTTTATTTTATTTTAAATAAACACCACTTTTAAAGAAATCTTAAACAAGTACGATGTGTAAAAGTGTTCATTATGTGTAGGCTTCTTCTCTTTCCAAACAAAACTGGAATTAGGCTTAAACTGGAAAAAATAGAGTGTTGTAGAAAGGCAACATAACTTTGCTGGAATTAGAAAGAAGTTTTTTTTAAATTCTCTAAAACATGTTTTTAAACAGATCAAAATATTCCACAAAACCAATAGGTCTAAATACGATTCACTTTCCCCCTAACGATTACACGAGTCAACAGTGTTTTCTTATAACACCATCAATATCCACTTACTTTAGTTATTTATTTACATTTCAAGACACAAAACACAGCACCGTAACCCTGCACAACAACCAGACTTTATTCTGTTACGGAAATCCACGGATGACCTCTAAAATCAGTTGTTTGTCTCTGCAACAGGAGACACAGCCGACGTTTGTCCCCAAAGGCGAAGAGGCAAACTGGCATGTCGGAACAATCAAAAGTTAAAAAAAGCAAAACATGAAGAAGTTACGTGCACCTCATTCAAAAAAGTTTTATAACATTTGTAGATTTTAGAGATTCACCATTCAGACTTGCCTCTTTCTTTTTAGTTTTAAAAACAACAGTTTATATTTTGATTGTAAGATGACAAAACTTGTGTACGAATGATTTTGAACAAAGAAAATAAATGAAAACATTTAAACATGAAGTATAAAAGTCCTAATTTCCTGCATCTTGTTGCAGAGAACCCCACCCAGCAGGGTGCTCATGTGCTGCCCTCCACGCTGATCATCTCCCTCCTTCTGATCATCGTGGTCCTGCTGACAGTTTACTGTCTAAGGTGAAGAAATCTGCTGTCTGTGTCATAATCGCTCCCTGGGAGGGAATGTGCCTGGGTGGGGGGGTGGTTCTCCAAACAGATGGTGAGCAAGGACTTATGGGTAAACAGCTGCACTTTAAGTAAGACAGCAAACAAAAGCAGCTGGGTCAGATCGGGCCATGCTTTCGACAGCATGAGGAGGAACAGCTTCACCTCTCTGAGATGGTCAATGCTAGTTTTGGAATGTGTTTTATATTCCTGCTCTAAGAAAAAGTATTTTTCTGTATAATGAATTATTTTGTCATTATTGTAGGTTCAAAAACCACAAAAAGGCTCTTATTACATCCGTGGATAAAAAGATCCCGAATGGCTTCTTGGAGGAACAAGGTACTCTTGTGCTGCACTCAAAATAACCACACGAGCATGAAAATCTAACGCTGCATTTTTCCATTTTATTTCCTTTTTTTTATTTATTTGACTTGTACATTGAAGCTCTTTATGAACAAGAGAAGCCTGCAGGTGATCTGGAGCTGCAAAGGCTGGGGACGACTCAGATTTCACAGCACACACAGGGAGCCACATAAACTTAGTCTTCAAGTGGAGAATAAATGCACGGAAATGCCAGATTCTGAGCTGAGATAGTTTTGTGCACCAAGTTTATGACTCCAGAAATCATGTCTGTCATGTAGCCACAGAGGTAGGAGATCTTAATGGTCATCAGGCTTGTTTTTGTGGGCGCTGTGAGAGTCTGTAATGTTCTCCAGTGGGAGGTGTTTGCTCTCTGACCACCGTATATCCCTTTTCAACACAGGAGAGCAAACAGTGGTCCTCCTCCCAAGATCTCCCTCGCCATCCAAGAGGTACTTCCCAATCCCCCTAGACTTGATGGAGGAGGAGTACCGCATACGCTCCGCCGACGACGGCAAGCTCTTCAGAGAGGAGTTCAACGTAAGTGGAGCCGGTGTGGACGAAGATGTTTGTCCTGCAAACGTACAACAAAAAGGAAAAAGAAAGGGCAATAAAATGTTTTAGAAGGCTTTGTACCGTTTTTCTCACATGAGGATTGGATTCTTCCTTTGTAGTCTCTGCCATGTTACTACCATCATGGGTCCTTTGAGGAGGCGAGCAGAGAGCACAACAGAGAGAAAAACAGATACCCGAACATTTTACCATGTGAGTCGGGATCCACCGTATTTTCTCTGTTTGGTTTATTGGTAACTACATCATGAGGGAGCTGGGTTTATATTAAGATATGAAGGAAAACAACTTTTTTACTGTTTTTCTTGTTTCAGACGATCACTCTCGTGTGGTTCTGAGTCATATTGATGGACACCTGTGCTCAGACTACATAAATGCTTCCTACATAGATGTAAGTGTTGATAGCAACTAAAATCCTAAAGAGCAAGTCACCCCCAAGTCAACTTCCTTTTGCTGATAAACTATATAAATGAGGGTCTGGTTGTGCTGTAAACATGTGTAGTTTGGTACTTTTGTTCATCTTAGTTAAAATTTTAATATTCTGCCTAAAATGTCAGTGTCTTCAGTTAAAAAACTCTGCGCTGCAAAATAACTTCAATCTGCCATGGCTATTAGCTAATAGGTACACTATGACATTAGCTGGTACATGATGATGTCACAATGCTGTCGTGAGCCTGTGTGTGTGTGGATTTGCTGGCGACTCCGCCCTCTCGGTCTGCCAGGCAACAGCATTTGTTGCATTTTTCTAACAGGAAGTGGGAGTGGAGTAAGACTGGTAAGGGGTGACTTTCTCTTTAATGATGAGGATTCTTCTCCTGACCTGTTTGGACTTAATTCATTTATTCCACAGGGGTATAAGGAGAAGAACAAATTCATTGCAGCTCAAGGTAAAAGAACCATCCAATTACAAGCAACCAGTTGAGTGTTTGACCGTTTTTAAGACATGATTTTAAAAACACTCCTCTTTGTTGTGTTTAAGGCCCAAAGCCTGAGACGGTAGCCGACTTCTGGCGGATGATTTGGGAACAGAAAACAGCAACTATAGTTATGCTGACGAATCTAAAAGAAAGGAAAGAGGTATTTCATCCTTTTACCGATTTGCTTCAAAGCAACGCACAGTTGGTGAAAAGCTTTGGTGTTCTCAAAGTCATGAGCATAATTTATTTGACCCCTCTCCTAACCAAGAATCCATGCAACATGTAACCCCGGCAGCTTACTAAGCATTGCATTAAATCCTGCCTCAAAGGGATAATTGAGTGCTCAAAAGCAAGTTTGATGGGGCAGAATAGAAGCGGTGGGGATCAATGATGGAATAATCGTTGATAAGATCCTAAGAGGCTTCATGATAATTAGAGAATCTAGTTAATGGGTTGAAACGTCACTGTGAAGACCTTATTGACTGTCAGAGTCACACAAAGTCTCTGTGATTGCCTTTTAAATTGGATTGTGAGATGCACACATGAAATGCAAAAATGTCTCCTTGCATGTGTGGAAGCATGCATCTGGGTGATGTCAGCTGTTGCATGGTGTGCTGCAGAAAAGTAAAATAAAAAAATAACCTGCTTGTTGTTGTGATGGCCAAACCAGGAGAAATGTTGCCAGTACTGGCCGGAAAAAGGCTGCTGGATGTATGGGAATGTCCGAGTGGCGGTGGAGGACATCACGGTGCTGGTGGACTACACTGTTAGAAAGTTCTGCGTTCAATATGTAAGTGTGTTCAAAATATTAAGTTCCTAAATTATGGATGAACGCTCATTATGAGCAGGTGAATCGTGTTTAAAAAGAGTTTCTCAGTTTAAAAACATATTTTTTTCTTTGTGTTTTATGATGAAAAAAGGGGAAAAAGGTTGTAAAAAGAATGCCTTCAACCGGTAATTTATTTGTGTTCTAGATTTGTTTACTTGTGGGAAAATGAGAACATTTTAGCAAACTTCTGCAAAACTTGATGAGCAAAGAAGAGCAAGCCTGCAAAGACAGTAAAAGGTTAAATAATGCAAATCATAGGCGCTGCATTCATTTTCATTATGCAGGTGTATTTAAATTCCCGGTAAACATGGTAATGTTCTGAGTTTATCATTATTTGATCCCTGAAAATGTATGCACGCAAAGTGTGTTTTTCTTTTCCTTTTTGATCGCCAAGTTGGATGTCAGCTTGGTATGCTGCGAAGCTTTCAGATTTCAAAATTCACTTTGTTCCTTCGCCATCTGAAGTCAGACAAGTACAGGAGAAAAAAAACATGACTGCACGGTAGCTCCTCTGTAAAAACTGACAGACTGGGTGCTTTTACGCATAGCTCTTAAAATACATGCAACCGAGTGTTCAGGAGAGTCAAAAGAGTCTCTCATGAGAGAGACGCGAACGCAAACCAGTGTTTTTAATGAAAGAAATACAATCAACTGTTTTGTTTTAATGGTTAACGGTTGTGTTTCCTCACAGTTTTATCTAAGCTGAGAATTGCGTGTTTTTGCTCCACAGCAGGGTGCCGATGGACTCAGAGCTCCTCGCCTGGTCACTCAGCTCCACTTCACCAGCTGGCCAGACTTCGGGGTGCCGTTCACACCCATCGGCATGCTGAAATTCCTCAAGAAGGTCAAAGCTGTCAATCCCTGCTACGCCGGACCTGTCGTTGTGCACTGCAGGTAAAATCTGCAGCAAGAAAAACAACAAAAAGAGGGAGAACTCAGACAAATTTGCACTTAATCGGGTAAATTAACCTCTGAAATGTTTTAAGAGGGAGAACTTGGTGCTTTAAACTTCAGAACAAACCTCCACAGTAATGCGTTTGTTCAGCAAAGAAACCTGCAGCTGACCACAGCAACTGCTACAACAGGTGCTCGGGGAGAGGGGTTGTTGTTTCTGAATGAGGCTCGCTCACCACTGAAGCCCAACACTCCGCTGTGGGCTCCAGGCTCTGAGCTCCCAGCGGTGCCGTTTGCTAAAATGACCCTTATAAATCTGTTAGGGGTGTGTTTCGGCACTACATGAGCTTGTTGTCGCTCACAATCGACCACTTTGTCAAAGGTAGAATGTGACTGAACAACTAAGAAACTAAGAAAATATGACATGTTTGATTTGCTTTCTGCAGTATGTGTCTGTTGCCACCAGCAGGAACTGTGTACCTATGGGAGATTCTCCCTTGTTTGTGTTCCCACAGTGCCGGAGTCGGGAGGACCGGAACGTTCATTGTCATTGACAGCATGATCGACATGATGCACACAGACCAGCGAGTGGATGTCTTCGGCTTTGTGAGCAGAATACGAGAACAGCGCTGTCAACTAATCCAGACAGATGTAAGTCCTGACCCTTCCTGACCTGCTGTGCACTCAACTGACAGCTCAACTCGCAGCTCTGGTAAACAAGCAGGTCTTGGATGGTGGTGGCAGAAAAAATTAAAACAGAAAGAAAATAGTTTGGCAAAGTAAATCTACTTCGATGATGTGCCTTTTCTGTTCTTCCTCAGATGCAGTACTCCTTTATCTACCAGGCTCTGCTGGAATACTATCTGTATGGAGACACAGAGCTAGATGTGTGCTCTCTGGAGGGCCACCTGCAAAGGCTTCACAACACCAGGGCCCCCCACGACAGGCTGGGCCTGGAGGAGGAATTCAGGGTACGAAGGAAGAAGCTCCCTCTTAAACATTTCGTGCAGGAATGAATCGTCCCCATCACGGCATGCCTTGCACTGTCTTATCATGGAAAGTGTGCCCAGGGTGACGCTTTTGGCAGTAGAAACATAAATAACAATGCTTTGGATCAGCTGAAACTTTATAAGACACCACCATCTGTCACATGGAATTTGATTTAACTTTGAGGAAAATTGCACGCAATTTGGCTGCAGAGTCCTTCCAACGCCTTTTTCTTCTTCCGACCTCACAGGAAATATTTCGTCTGTGACAGCTGCTTCTGGATTTTAACGTGTTTTTTTAAAGTTGCATTTTGCTGATTAAAACAAACTTCTGTACCACCGCGCTTGTGTCTTCTCCCTCCAGAAGCTGACCAACGTTCGCATAATGAAGGAGAACATGAGGACCGGGAACCTTCCTGCCAACATGAGAAAGAACCGGGTTCTTCAGATTATTCCCTGTAAGCACTACTCATCTGCACCACAATACATCATAACTGACATCAAAGCACCACACCGTGTGGGACTTTATTGACACCATATTTGGAAATCCTGTTTTTTATTTAATGATGTTTAAAGTTTGCTTGTGTATTTAACGATGAAGACAGGTGAAATACGACGTTGCACGTTTGAGTTTGCTTAGAATTCCTTTTGCTGTAAGACGTTTCTAACTTTTTATTGTTTTAGGAGCCTCATATGGACAGTTTCTTGTCGTTTCTCCCTTTTGCAGATGATTTCAACCGAGTAATACTGTCAGTGAAAAGAGGACTGGAGTTCACCGACTACATCAATGCCTCCTTTATTGATGTGAGCTCTCCTACACGACCTCCTCCATAGATTTCCCATAGAAGTATAAATAAAGCTCATTGTTGTCTTCACAAACAATGCAAAATATAATGTTTGCTGCACTCTTCGACATTGTTTACTGGACGATCTGCCCTACAGGGCTACAGGCAGAAGGACTATTTTATCGCGACCCAGGGCCCTCTGTCTCACACGGTGGAGGACTTCTGGAGGATGGTGTGGGAGTGGAGGTGTCATTCAATCGTTATGCTCACCGAGCTCAAAGAGAGGGAGCAGGTATTTCTCTTGTCAAGTTAAACCGATGTGCAAATCATCACATTTATGAACCAATTTATTTTTTATCTGCTTCACTTTTAAATCATTTTCCTAATTTCTGCCATTTTATTTTTCCATTTCAACCCTCCAATTAGGAAAAGTGTTTCCAGTACTGGCCATCAGAGGGCAGTATGACATTTGGAGATTACACAGTGGAGCTGACTGGAGATGCACGCTGTGAACCCTTCACTCGCAGAGACCTGGTTCTCACCAAAAAACTAGTACGTCAAGTTTAAAATCACAGGATAGGTTTTTCGTAAATCATACCTGTTTTTTGGACACATTTCAGATTTTTTTTTACTCATAAATCCCCATGCCCCTGGTGAAAACGCTTCGATTTGCTCATCTGTTCAGGAAAAGCAGTCACAGCACGTTCGCCACATCCACTTCCACGGATGGCCTGAGATCGGAACACCCGCGGAAGGAAGAGGGATGATTGACATCATCGCCGCCGTGCAGAGGCATCAGCAGCAGTCTGGAAACCGTCCAATAGTTGTACACTGCAGGTGAGCACCTTCACATTGACTTTTCTGCAGCTTTATCACATGAAAACTATTATTTATTACCCGATCACTTCAGTCTGTAAGTAATTTATACTTATACTTACATTTTCCTTTCCTGTTACAATAAAAAGTATGTTTCCTCAGCAGAGCCAGCATTCTACGCCTAAACCACTTATGTGATCCCTTATAAAGACTTAGCTGTGAAAGCTTTGATCAGAACCTAGCTTCAGGTGAAGTGATTCTAAAGCAGCATGCCCCGATGGGATTGATCCAATCCACTGATTCACAGTCAATTAAAACCTCTCAAAGTGAAATCTCCTCTGACTCCCACTATGATTAATCTGATAAGATGAGCTAACGACAGGAAATGGTGTCATCACTTGCTTCTATTCCTTCATCACCACTTGTCTAGGAGGGCTTTTTAAAGCTTTTTTCCCCCGTCTCGAGGGAATGGGGCTAACCCGCTGCAATCCCTAACGTCTCCCTACACTTTCTCTACCCAATCGCATGTTGCTCTCCCGCTCGCTTCCCTCCCTTTCTCCCTCTCCTTCTTCCTCTCCATCCCACCATCATTGTAAACATTGACTCAGTCAAACACAGAGCTTCCAAACTGATTAGTGTTAGCATTTGGATTAGCCTCTCTTTAAGTGAGGATAATTACTAGAGCCATTACACAAAGGTCACCTTTACTCGTGCTAACTTTTTAGGTTAAATGAAAAGCAGATGTGCTGAGAGGTGAGCTGCAGTTTGGAGTGAAAGACTTTATTATATTGGTGGTTATTAGGGATGTGAGGAAATATCTGTTAATATCAGCAAAACTGTTAACTATTGCGTGTTCTTAAGGTTAGGACAAAAGGTTGTTTTGCATTATTAAGTAGTTTTTAATACTTTATTTAATTGTTTATCAATGCTTTTTAATATATGAAGTAACATTAATCAAAGGACTCTTATTGTAAAGTGTTACCAAATTTCAATGCGCTGAAATACTGCGATTTTTTTGCAATCGTGAATTGATATTTAAAAGCTATGATTTAATTTTTAGAAATAGAGAATACATGCAAATACTTGCTTAATTTCTGCTATGCAGCAACAGGTTTTTAGGCCTCCATCCTAATACAACAATGACATCTCGTGATATCAATGTGTCTTGGTAGCATCTGGTTCAGTGGTAGATCTAGGATTTTTCTGACTATGCAGCAATCAAGCGGCCTCAATATTTATAGACGGACTAAATATTAAGCCTAGTTTGTGCTTCTCCGTTGTTGCAAGGGCTCTCCAACAGGCTCGCAAGGAAGGATGGAGTAGAGCTCAAGTTTCTAAATGTCCAGAGACTGCAAGCCTGTGATTGGTCAGGATGTTGCTTCCTTAACTTTGTCAACAGTACCAATATCCCCCCTCCCAATGAATGAAACGAGAACTGTATATATCTAGCGACAGACACGGAGCAGGTTGAGGATCGTCTGGCAGAACGAGTGCAGGAGTTCAAAGATACGCAGAAAATGTTTTATTCCTGTCAGGAAATTACATGAAATGTGGGTTTGGAGGTGGTTATAAAGTCTGAAATATGTAAACACAACAAAAACACACTAGAGACGTAACTGCAGTGGTGGCAGAATACCCCAGAAAAGCCCTGCGCCCTACGTTGTCCTGGCGGAGAAATACTTCCCAACACCGACACGCCAACTGAGAAGTATAAAAAGAAAATGTTTCCATCAATACGTGTGTGTGTGTGTGTGTGTGTGTGTGTGTGTGTGTGTGTGTGTGTGTGTGTGTGTGTGTGTGCGCAAACCTACTGATGGAGAAGAATAAATTAGGCTTTAGTCCAACATCCTTACACACAATCCCCTGTTTTAAAGTACTTTAATGTAATTTGGCATGCATTTTTAGACAAAATACAAACATACAGCCTTTGAGAAATGTTCAGTATTGTATTTATTTTTTTTAAAACACAAATAGTATCAGTTTAAAGTTTGTGGGTGCAACAAAAAACACATTCCTATTTGGCTCATTGTCACCCCTACTGTTTGTAATTGGAATTAGACCCACCTATAATCTGATAATCTCGCAGAGGACAGATAAGTGACAGGAAAGGGGCATTTCAGGGGGCCAATCAAATTTCAGCAAAGGCCAGTGCCCATGTGGCTCCTCCCATAGAACCACCAATAGTTTTCCAATAGAATTATGTTAGAAAAATTGAAAATATAATGTGGCCTTTTGCATTGCAACATATCGTATGACCTGCCCTTTTATTGTGATATATATCGTAATGAGTCGCCAGTACCCACCTCTAGTGGTTACCATCTACAGGTGCAGCTCTGTGATATTTCTCAGCTTTACAAATAACTTTTAGCTCATGCATTTTTTATGTGGTCACTAATTATTCTGTTCTCATTGTCTGTAGTGCTGGAGCGGGACGGACCGGCACTTTTATTGCACTCAGCAACATTTTGGAGAGAGTGAAAGCTGAAGGCCTCCTGGATGTTTTTCAGACAGTCAAGAGTTTACGAATGCAGAGACCACACATGGTCCAAACTATGGTGAGAGCAAGCTAAAAGAAAAAAATCTAATTTTAAGTGCAAAATCTGTCATCCTGTTCATGTTGTATTCCTTGGAATGGTTCCCGCTGCATAATGATGCCGTTCTCTTTTTGCTCTTTTTAAATTCCAGGAGCAATATGACTTCTGCTACAGAGTGGTCCAGGATTTTATTGACATTTTCTCCGACTACGCCAACTTTAAATAACGCCTGCCAGTGTGTTTTCTGCACATGTCAGTCAAATGAAATTATGCAATTTTTTCCCTAGATGTTGTTTTCTAAAGCTTTTTACATTTTGCACTTTATTGCAGGACTAAGACGTGACATGTGTGACACAGGAGAGCCTGTATCCGGAACTAGAATTGTAACTTGTGGGTAAAATGATTTATTTTCTAATGTGTAAATAATATTTATGATCTACATTTTTTCTGTTGGATGTTGTGTTTGACTTCTCTTCTATCTGGGATTAACTCAACAGCTGCTGCCTGCTGCAGTTTTATTCAACCTCAGTAACTTTCCCTTTTTGCCTGTGGCAATATTACTTAGAGGATTGGTTTCTGACTTGGCAGCATCCATTTAACCCACATTAGAACAGGCAGAAACATAATGTCATTCATGAATTCTAATGTGTCACCCCAGCCAAGCTCAGCATTCAACTTTATTTATCACTATGTCTACATTCCCACTTATATATTGCATTAATCAGTGCCATATTGATTAGACATGGTTCTAATCAAGAAAAACTTGTCACAACGTGACGCACATTTAGTGATAATAGGCCAAATGTTTACTTTATCTTTGCCTAAATATTACAGATATTTTGAAAATGTTTTTTTATGTTGGTTTAATGTGTGTTTTATCAGTTAAATACGGAAAAGGATTAGGGCCACTGAAATGAAAAAAATATATATGAGAAGAAAGAGAATCCTGAGTTTTTTTCTCAGATTTCTGACTTTAAAGAGCAAGTCTACCCCTACCAGAGTCTAACTCCACTCCCACTTCATGTTTGAAAAATGCAACAAATGCTGTTGCCTGGCAGACCGAGAGGGTGGAGCTGCTAACAAATGCACACTCACACAGGCTCACAACAGCACTGTGACATCATAATGTACCAGTTTACATCATAGCATACCTCTTAGCCAATAGCGGTGGCAGATTTAAATTAGAATACAGTGCAGAGTTTTTACCTGACAACGGCACAACACTGCCAGTTTTAGGCAGAATATTTAAATTTTAACTAAGATGCACTGAAGTGCCAAATTATTGACGACACGTGTGTGCAGCACGATTAGACACTCATTTATTTAGTTTTTCAGCAAAAAAAAAGTTTATTTGGGGGTGACTTGCTCTTTAATCACAAAATTCTGACTTTACTGAGAATTCTGACAGAATTCTGACTTTTTTTTCTCAAAATTCTAACTTGAATGTCAGAATTTTTGCTTTAATAATTCTGAGAAAAATGTCAGAATTCTTTTTTTTCTCAGATTGATCGCTTTAATCTCAAAAGTCTGGCGTTTATCTCTTTTTTCAGAATTCTGACTAATAATTCTGAGAAAAAAAGAATTCTGAGAAAAATGTCAGAATTCTCGCTTTTGTTTCTCAGAATTCTCACTTTTTGTCCTCAGAATTTTGAGATTAAAGTCAGAATTCTGAGGACAAAAAGTGAGAATTCTGACTTTAATTTCAAAATTCTGACATCTTTTCTCAAATTTCTGACTTTAATGTCAGAATTTTTACTTTAATAATTCTGAGAAAAATGTCAAAATTCTCACGTTTTGTTTCTCAGAATTCTTACTTTTTGTGCTCAGAATTCTGAGTTTAATCTCAAAAATCTGGCTTTAATCTAAGAATTCTGACATATTTTCTCAGATTTCTGACTAATAATTCTGAAAAAAAAGTGAGAATCCTGAGAAAATTGTCAGAATTCTCACTTTTTGTCCTCAGAATTTTGAGATTAAAGAAAAAAATCTGAAGACAAAAAATTAGAATTCTGAATTTAATCTCAAAATTCTGACATTTTGACAGAAAGACAGAATTCTGAGGAAAAAAAGTCTAAATTCTATTGTATTTTATTTTCTGTGGCCCCAATTGTCATCCGTAGTTAAATGCTCATGCAAACACTTGTATTTGTATAAAATGGCTTTAGTTTGATATAGGTTTGTAAATGATCATTTTGTTAAAAATCTTGTAAACAATACTAGAACGTTTTGTTTGTATGGAAATTATAATTATTTTATATTTAATATGCATTAAACTTAGTAATTTACGAGGGCATGTAATAGACATTTTTCCAGTCATTTAAAAATCACTGATATCATATGTTCATATCTAAACTTCATCATTGCTGCATAAACAAAGTCATTTATTTTTGCCAAGTTTGTGCATCTATCTAGATAATTTATGAGCTATTTCTGCTGTGTCTGTGCCTCTAATTCATTTGTAAGATTGGTTTATATTTTCTTTATTCGTTGTACATAAATATCTATTCTATCCATTCATCGAGACTTCAGTTTTTTCTTATGCTGAAGAAATAACAAACACGACAGTAAAGCCTTACAGCCAGTGTAATAAATGCAAAAGCATCTTGTTTCAGTGATGTTTCTGCTTTTTTGTATCTCTTTGCTAAAAGCAGAATCCAATAAATTATAAATGGAGATAAACGTCAGATTTCATCCAAATGTTGTCTTTCTTTTCTCTGATCACCTCCACGCAGATGCATTCAGTGCACCGCAGAAGATGTTTTGTGATATATATTTAATGCCACTAAACCCTTACGGTGATGTCAGCATATCTGAGCACTTAGGCGGCTCCATTAGTTGTTTTTTTGTGTCCCATTAGTCCGTAAATGTGTCACACCTGCAAAGAGGGGATTATAATCCTGACAGCAGCCTTGTACAACAGCTATAAAATCCCCCTCTGGCTAATGTGCCACATGCTAACAAGTCAAATACAGAGGTGAGATAGTCTTCCCCTGAAGTTTGTTAAATGTTCAATAACTTAGATTCCGTCTCTTTATTAATTACTGTTGTTTATTAGTGTTTGGCGACAGAGTCAGCCTTGATCTGCGAGCTGTGGCGCTGTGAAGGAGTCGGGTGTGCCGTTATTGTTTTTATGACATATTTGGCTTCCCCTGCAGCTCTAATGAAGGCAAGCAGCAGAGTTATGGTGCAGGTGTTGTTGCTGGCGCTGGTGGTTCAGGTCACCCTGTGCCAGCACTGGTCCTACGGATGGCTACCAGGTGGAAAGAGAAGTGTGGGAGAGCTCGAGGCGACCATCAGGGTGAGTGATTATTTTACGAGGAGTTTCAGTTTCAGGAAATGTGCTCACTTTATTAAATTAAAAGCACATTTGAACAGGAATAGTTCCATGGAATGGCTTTATAAAGTCTGACTCTGGCGTTTTATTTCCCTTTTTTATTGCTGTAAATAATAAGTTAAGATATTAAAGGAAGAAGGGAAAAACGGTGACCATAATATTTTATTTCTGACTGCCTCTTGTTGCGTTAGATGATGGGCACAGGAGGAGTAGTGTCTCTTCCTGAAGAAGCCAGTGTCCAAACCCAAGAGAGACTTAGGCCATACAATGTAAGTGCTTATCATACATTATTTATCAACGATGTTTGCTCCGATCGTACAATATTAATGTGAGCCATGGCACGTTCGCCACCATGCTCCTAAGTGGCAATGACAATATACAAACTTCTCAATGACTGTTTTTATTTTTCTGCTTTTGCACGACTGAATTCATGCGTGGGTAATTTTACTGGCGAGGAGGCAGCTGAGATCCTCACGTGTTCATCTTACAAGTCGCAACTTTAATTTGCAACCAAGTGCTTCATGTAAATATCGGTCATCTAATCCTTTATTCTTATTTTTTTAGGTTTATGATGAATCTCATCATTTTGACCGGAAGAAAAGGCTCCCGAACCAATGAAGAGCAAGAAAAGGAGGCTGTTTTATTTTACACTGATGACTTCAATAAATCACTGTTACAAAAATGCATGTTTGCCTCTTTTAAAGTTGCTATAAAACTTTGAATTCTGGCTTATAATCATATTGGTAACACTTACCACAAGGCTCCCCTTATAAATGGCTAATAAATAGTTTATAGATGGGAATCTGTAACACTGTGATGTTAATTATGAATTAAACAATGCTCCGTATTTTGCAATAAACTGGTCAGTTGCAACTCTTTCCTAACTTACTTAATGCATAATAAACACTTTTAATGATCTATGAAAGCTACAGATTCATTAATAACACATCTATAAACTATTTTTGATTTTACCTTATTGTTAAACGATAGTTGCAATAACATCTTTGATCTGTTCATTATCACAAAAATTACATTATAAATTTTATTTAATAAGTTATGAGGAGAATAAATTGCCTTTGTAAAGCAGTCACGACCGACAAGCCTGACAAACTTGTGACACAACAATCTTAGCCTGACAACAGCTGGTGATTAAGCCAATTTATTAGAAATCAATGACTTAATGGAATTTGCAACACTTTTGGAAAATTCATTTTCTGCCACGCCAGTCATGTGTTTATACGATGTTTAAAACGACACAGTCTTGGTTTCTGTGCTCATAAATGTGACTGCTGATTAGCACGGCAGACAAAACACACTCATCTCATTTCAGCTCGCCACGTCCAGAGCAGCTTTCCACCTAATTTAGGGTAACCGCAGTCATGCAAAACAACACTAAGTGCCTGACTTTATGTTTTTGTCTTCTGCTGCTTTTCTGTATATGCAATTGGTGTTCATTATAAAAATTGGAATTTCATATCAGGAACGGAAAAGAATCAGCAGGGGGCATATGTTGTAAAGAGAACTCATTTTCTGGCAAAGCCCCACAGACAGAGCACCATACTAATCGCCTGGTGCATAAGGGGCCAGGATTCATGAACTGTGCTGACACCTGGGAGGCCCCCGCATTGTTAGAGCGTGGTTGTAATGCACACCAATGAACCCAAACCCACTGGCACAACAGGGAAAAAGGTTAACATTATAAGAGCACATAGAATTAAGGAGAAATTAAACCCCATTCCAGTGCACTTTCAGAACAATACTTGTTCATTTGTGATACTTCACCTCATTGGTTTAATATTCATGCTTGGAATTTGCATAACATGATCATTTCAATTGAAATACGCAGCTTTTTTTAGAAAGAGTTTGGTTTTCTTTCACCTTTTTGACAAACTCAGGTGTTTGTTTTTCCAGAACATTTTCTACATTAAAAAATGTTAATTAGTATCTAATAGAAAAGTAATAGTAACTGTTCCTCTGTAAATATGTGTATGTGTTGTTTTAAGTCAATCTAATTTAAACTGAACATGTTTGAGATGTCCATAAATTTTAATTTACACTATTTATTTCCATATAAAATAAGCATATTCAAATAAAATATACAAGTGCCACTAAAATCTGTTAAATTTAGCTAATGAAAGTGTTTCTTTTATAGATCCTTAATGAATTCAAAGTTTTTTTCACAGAGATTTCAAATTAAATTATTTTTTTACGTTGAGCATGAATAATGCTAATGGTTCCTATTCGTGAGCCAGCATGTGCTAAAATGACAGTTTACAGGGTTTATGAGATGCCACTCAGACCCTCACCACCTTCTGTGGCCAGAAAACCACATTTGCAACTTCAGAGTGCCGATCTGGTCCCTATTGGACTTAGAAAAAAATTGAGCTTACATACCTGGCGCTGTAGTCTGCTTCCAGCACGTTTCCTGCTTGTTTTAGATCACTGACACAGCTGCTTTGTTTCAATTCGTGATGAATCACTCCTGTAGACACTAATGAAGGCTAGGGAGACATTTCAGCTGTTAGATTAAGGTGTTAAAAAGACACAGCGAGGAGATAAGTTTCACTTTTGCTTTGACCACAGATAATTCATAACGGACACTAGGGGGTGCTAAAGGCAAGCAAAACTGCCAAGTGTGCCTTTAAATAATTTCAACCACCAAATTTAGATAAAACATATTTACCGGTGGATTTACTTAACATCTACTTTCTTTATTTTTTTAGATTTAACAAACTTTTTCTCTAAACTGTTCGCACATTTTTGGAAATTAGAATTTACTTAAATATATTAAATATCACTTCGTTGTCATCACTTTTTAAAGTAAACTCCTTTCAGTTTTTTCAGTGTACCACCAAAAAAAAACATATTGAGAGTAAACTTAGATGTGTGATATTTTTGGTAAAAGAGACTTTCCCAAAATATGTGTTTCATCTTCATGTTTTATCTTTAATGTTTACTCATGAAGCTCGAAATCCCATTAATTCCCCTTTAAAATCCCCGAAAGCGTTTTTTGTAAAAAGCAGCTCGCTCTCTCCCAGTGTCCTCATCAAGGACCTGCCTAATTGCACGTACATCAGGACAACAAAACCTGCTGGTATCTGTGTTTCCAAATTTGATTTAACCTCACTTTCTCCTTCCCAGACCCCCTGGTGGATATTCACTTTGTTTACCTCAAATTAAACTTCATATTGTTTACAGCCTCCTGGTCCCTGAACATTTTATAGCCTTTTAGAATTATTTCTTTATTTATTTTTTGTAATGATTGTAGAGTTGGGATTCATTTGAATGTTTCCCTCATCTGCATGAAAATTATATAATTAACTTTTGATTAACCAGCTCAGTTGAGTTGGTTCCCCCATGCACACTGGTGAATAGTACCAACCGCATTTTAATGACTGTTTTCCAATTGAGTGGCGACCTTTTCATCAAAGAGCCACAACTGGGGCTAAACAACGGATAGAAAATAATCACGGGGAAAACAATGGGTAGAGGCCGACGGGCTAGGATGTCATCCTTAAATATAACAACACGGATGAAAGCAACCTGACTGCATGGAGCGGCTGTGGAGGGAAGCCAAGTGCTTATGCGGCTGGGTGCCTCATTGTTAAAGCCACGGAGGTCACGTCCACTGGCATCGAGAGGGAAAGGACAGGAAGCCGAGAATGGCCCATTGTTACATGTCCTTGCTCAGAGGGCTTTCCATTATGAGGGCCGAAGCATTTTTGATACTTTAATTCTTTTTTTTTTTTTGCCATTCATTTACTAAAAAAACATATTTGGATAATAGCTCCAGGAAGGAGATGGGTCTCAGAGCACCTGCAACCAAGGCTACAGAGCAGCGTCAACACACGCCAATCAAGCAGAGCAGCTGTGCATCCTCACGCCGTCAAATAAGCACTCCATCACATGCATGATATCTTTCATTTCACCACTGTTATGCTCCTTGCTTCGTGTGTGTTTTCCAGTGGGTCAGAGGAAACTTTTATTGAAGCAGGGAGTGTAATAAAGTCATTTTCCAGGTGCTTGTTGTGACTCTTATTATGAACAGAATGATAATTTCCCCTGGAAGAATCTGGCACTGCATTTCAATTGAAGTTAAGTGTGGGTCTTACTATGTTCCCGCAGGCGATAGTGGAAGGCAAAGTCATCTTCACAGAGACTCTAAATGTCAGGGAGGTCTTCAAACACGTTTCCTCCCTCAGCCTTTCTGAAAAGGGTCTTTGGAAGTGCAGTGTCTTGGGACTGACACCGTGGATGCGAGGTAAATTGGTAGGTTAAGGGTTTAAGGTAAGAAGTTGACTTAAAATTTAGCTGGTAATCTCTCAAATGGGTGAAAAATATCAGCACTCCTCCAGATCTGTGTGGTTCTTGTTTAAAGCATCAGTGCAGACAGCTGCTCGGTCACTTTATCTGCCATGTCCTCTCGTCTCCACATGGTGACACTCTTGAGCTGCGTGTTTTGAATCCCCTCCTGTGCGTGTCAATCCCTCTGCAATCCCATCGCCTAAGTTCCTGAAACTGTTATTCCTTTTAAATCCAACAAAGAGTTCAATCAATTACGCAAAACTGTGAAAAGTAACAAGAAAAAAAATACAAAAATCTAAATTCTTCCCACATTTAGACTTTAAAAGTGGAACTTTTGTAATTTTGCAGAACTTTAGCGCAGCGTGAAATAAATAAAACAAAACAAAAATATAAGTGAAAAATCATGGAATTCTCAAGATTTTACATTTTACTTTTCCAAATCGTGTTTATTTACTTTTTATTTGAGTCGGTGTACATCTTTCTATACGACGGTGTGTTACAGCGGTGGATTGGCCTTCCTTCTCCTTCTTGGCTGGCAGGGTGTCTTCCTGTTGTGATCCGACTTCTCTTCTTTGATCAAAGAACAGTGTTAAAGCACTGGGAGAAGGAGGAGGTATGAAATATGAATGAATACAGCTGTGTTTTGATGGATATGTCTCAAAGTATCCCAGTAAGAGACTGCTAAAGGCCAGGAAATCTGTTTGTGTTGTGGAAATAGGCTCTTCCTCGCCTGCTTCTTCACCAGCTTCATCTCGGGTTGCTTCTCTCTTCATATTTTAGAGCTCCTTTGTTGGAGTGGAGATCAGCCTCTTAGCCGTGCGTTTACATAAAACTGCTCTAAAAGACCCCAGTTCATGGAACATGTCATTAACGACGCGGTTTCATTTGTTTGGTCATCAAAACAACTTTTGAACAAAACCAAAAGAAGGAGGTTATTTATCATTTTTTTCTGGGGTAGACCCAAACTTCTTAGAGATGGAATGAGAGCTTTTGTTAGGTGATGGAGGCTTTGTCGCTAGTTATGTGTGTGATTCCATTTCCTTTTCTAAAACCCCATCAGTGAGCCGTGACTCATTTTGAAGTTGGAAGTTGATGCTGCGGTGTAAAACTGGCGTTCCCACGTGAATTTAGAAACTATCAGAGCTCGCAAAAATGTAAGATTTTCTGACTAAAATGAACTTGCCTTTTAAATTGCTCTTCTTTAATAAACAACGCTAATAAAAAGATGCGCTCGTAAAAGAAAAAAAAATAGTGCAATTATTGGGAGAGACTCCAAAATGGCAGTGGGCGTCTGCTTAAAGATGCATTTTACAACACATCATGGCTTAGTTGCTTTATTAACAGTTATTCAGAGACTGTGTTTAGTTGCTCTGGACCGT